ATGTCTGCCTCGTCCGGCATGATTCCCTGGCCCTCCTCTGCATTTCTCACATCGTTCGTCTCTCTTGATGGAGTTGTAGGTGTAGTAGGCTCTCGGCGTCGAAATACAAGCGAGAAGGCTGCGGCCACCAGAGGTAGGATCACGGGTCCGAGGTCGATGATACCCTCTAGCGTAGTATTTGATTGCTGAGACAAGACGGCAACAAAGTGGACAGATAGTAGAAAGGTGCAGAAGACATAACGATCGCGTAATCTAACGATAATGTTCGAGTACTGTAGGAAGAGGAAGCCTAAGGTGGAAGCTAAGGACAACGTATATATCCTTGTTCACATTAGCGAAAGGAGAAGGTATTGGGCACCGATCAGAACTGACGGTACGAGCAGTGCATTCTCAACTCTCTCGTCTCGGCGTAACGGTATCAGGGAGATTGCAGTTGCTACCGAAGTAAAGCCAGTTCCGATGCGAAGATAAGCGAAAAGGTCGGCAGCACCAACAAGGTGAAGAACGAAAGCAAAAACAAAAAACGTTGGCAATAGAGGCAGCAGCATGATGTAGATATCCGTCTGTCTGAGTGAAGATGCGATGGGGCTATTATAGGTCGTCTTTTCTAGAGCCAAAGAAGGGGTTCTTTCTCATTACGTCTCTGGTTCAAGAATTTAGCGGCTTAATGCTAAGGGAGAAATGAATATCATCTGAAATGCTACCGAAAGAAAGATTGGAACGAAACAAGCGGGTTTTCGGAGATGTTTATGGTGTCCCGGCGATTAGGAAAACATGCAGTGGGATGATCATAGCTGGAGCTCACGTATATCCGGGGTCAGAATCATAGGGCCAGGCAAGCTTACGCAAGCAATGCCACGCATCAGGAGCAGATTGGTGCCCAAAAGTGCACGTAGGCATCGCCACTTTTGGGTTACATTTCTGAAAATATGGACACTAGGCTATTATTTTCGCTATTTCATACAAGAACTACAGATGCCGGCCACGAGGTAACTATTTGCCTCGGATAGATTGCCTTTTGGCTGCTAGAATACTCGATTAGAAGACTTGACCAGAATACTCGAAACATATTGCGGCGATCAGCAGCAGTGCATGAAGTTATATGTAGGTGAGTTATCTCTGTGCCTACTTCGGATGCATGTCCCGCCGGGATACTCCATCGAAAAACAGACTACAACATGGAACAGTCAAAAGCTTTTCGATGATTCATGAGCAAAGAGAGACAGTTCTTAGTACAATTTAGGAAATTAACCTCGTACTAGGAAAGCTGCGCCCATACAAACACGCTTCGCGACTTCCATTCCTATGCCCGACGATACAGGAGGGCAAGCCGCCAGCGGCTCGGATGGCCACTTGTCAACCGTTCCCACATCGACTGTTATCTGCAATCCAAACATTCACTCAGCATTTGGGACAGACTGCGATCGCAGTGGAACTGCTATTGACGTTGACCAAATTGGATCTAAGAAACAACTCAGCAACAATGAAAGCCTCGACTGTCAACACGGTGAAATCATCAATGATAATCATCAACATCGATCCAAATACCAAGCCCTTGTACTCGCCGCAACCGACCCGAATTCTAGAGGGCGAGTCAAAGGAACGACCCCAACGCAGCCGAGCTATTGGAAATGCCAAGATAGAAGCCCTCCGACTTATTACAACAAAGTGCAGTTCCCAATACACCCATTCGATATGTGTGCCACCGGGAAGCAATCAAGAATGCAGAACGGCGAAACGTCTAGCCGTTTGAGCGGCTTCCTTACAACTTTGCAAGACATAATGCTAGCTGGAGTAGCCGGCTCGTGTGCTCTTGTTTTCGAACGATACGATAGAGCTTTTGTCTATCGATATCTAAACAGAAATCAGCAGCAATTCAAACAATGGCGTGAAACTGCCGGCCCAGAACCGCAATGGCCCAGGCTTCTGGAGCATCCATCGCCATTTACATTCGTCCTGGCGGGTCTAGCATATTGCGCTAGTATCGGTGTACTCTATGCTCGTTACCGTGACGATAGGTACCTGTCTCTATGGTTGACGGCGGTTATCAGTGCAGCGTTACTTTGGGGCACTCTGAGTATTGGTGATATACGGCACGCACTACTTCAGGTAGTTCCTGGATCTGTGGTCGTCTCTATCATCCTCAGTTCTTTATTTCATCGATGGATGCTGACTTGGTCCCTGGCTTGAACATTATGTCAGGCTACATTGCAAGACCACAATGTCAGTCCCTATCTAGGTTCTCGAAATTCTCTTTTAGTCCCTATATTGAGGATCTAGGTCACAGAAACTTTCTTGTCCCTCCCATTTTCACCCGCTGGCTTGCGGATCCGGGGTTCAACAATCTCCCTAGTTTGTAGAAATTTTCTTATCTTTTCTATATTCATCTGCTGGCGTACGGGTCTAGGTTCCACAATTCTGGGCAAGGGCTTTTAGGTCTCTATTGTACTGGCTGGGGTATAAGGTGTGGACTTTTCTTGATTTTTTTTGTATGTGCCTTCTGTATCTTTATTTGTGAACGGGCGTTATTATAAGACTGGCCGGTGGCGGGGACAGGTTAGGGGGGTTAGGGGGTCAGGGGGGTCAGGGGGGTCAGGGGGGTCAGGGGGGATTATATTGGTGTATATTGCATGGAGAAGGGGAGATGTAGTAGTAGTGTTAGTGTTGACGCTATTTGCGAACTTCCAGTGATCCATGCAATTTTTGTCTTCCAGGCGTGACTGTGCACTCGAGAAACTAGCAGCTAAGGGAAAATAATGCATCATCTGCAGAAAACGAACCAGTACTCTGAAAATTGTATGGATACGGGCATATAATAGCCTATGTAGAGTAATACCGGGCATGTATAAGAAATAGGGCTCTGCCTCTCACTGATTAAAATATGGTCTAATTATATACTTCTTTGAAGGATAAGACAGAGATACTAGATAGGGTCGCTAACTGTTTATGAAATGTAGAGTAGTTCTCAGGGAATCCGAATTAGTCTTCGTTTCGAGTTCCAAGTGCTACATGGACGCGATGGTTGTTCGATATTGACGTCCTACGGTAAGAAATAGAGAGCAATGAAGTGGTAACCTACGAGCGTGCATCGTCATCCTAACCCTGTCCACCACCGGTGTTCGTCTTTCTCTTCGAAAGTTTCAGCTAGTTCTGGGTCGACCCATCCGCGCGTATAATAAGATGGAACGCATAGATATCCCATAAACGAAGCTTGGAAATAGAAGAATAGATAGGGCCAAAGGCCCTATCTTGAAGGTTGTGAACAACTGTATTGGAACTGAAGGTAAAACTGTAGGTAAAAAGGAACTGTGTCTAGAAAATCTCTGCTAGCTAGCAGTTTTGTAGGTGGCACAAGCCACAAAGTGGCTTGTGGGCTTGGCTAAGCCACTCGCGCTGTCACAATAACTCCCACCGAGATCGACAATCCATGTATTTCTGTCGTGATCGAAAAGCACGTTGCTTGCTTTGGCATCTCCCCAGATGACACCAGCTAGCAGTAAGCTGGTTTTCCCACTTCTGTTTGATAGAAGCTGATGATCTGGACTAGCAGCATGTATCTTTCGATAAGCTTCAAGTTCATTTGTAGTCGAAATTGGCCCAGAGCACCGTTTCAAGAAGCATTCTACCTGACCGTTGTTGATGGTGATCTTGTGCAACGACTTAAGAGCGTGTCTTCTGGATCTTCGAAGCTTAGTTTGACGTCAGCAGGGTCATAGACCATTGTCCACGTCGCAATTTCATCAAAGGCATCAGAGCCAAGCAGTGCACCTTCCCATGTTCCACAAATATTACACAAGTAGCCGATGAGTCTTCTTTCTGAACCTGGCGCGGTTCTAAGTCTTCGCCTATTACATTCATGCGAAGGGTGAAAGATTCTAGGTGTAAGTACTGCTGTAGGGTGACGTTGTTGATATCCCTGGAGTGAGCTTTGCGAAGAAAGGCTCGGACGGCTTCACAACCCACTCTATGACATCGTTTTCGTAAATTATTATCGCAGAGAACCTCCTCGCTCGTGTCCATCATTTTTAATAAGACATGAAAGTCTGGATTGTAGCAGGAAAATTGATAAAATCGCGGGCCGAGATGTTGATTTGAAAAGCCCAGCCACTTCTGCGAACGTTAAATTTGAGCTCATTTCGGCCGAGAAAAACAATCCAAGATTCGACGTCATATCTTATGCTAGCCCCAGTACCTAGCTGCCACCGCTCAGAAAGCGGTCTAATGGAGACAGCTGTTCAATGGGTTGCGAGATAGAGAGAATCAGCTGAATCTCTTTGTAATTAGACTTATGACTCAATTATTCATTAGTTGAAAGCATATCAAATCTGGATTGCGTGGAAGAACTATAATATCTATATTGATCCGTAAGGGGGGTTTTTAATTTGAAGCTATCTAATTGTTAGCTGGTCGGGATCTGCTTCTGCATTGCAGCGCCTCGTACGCACTAAGCTCCTTGCCTGGAAAAGACTAAGTAGAGACTGGATGCATACTTGATTTAATACCGGTCGCATGTTCTTTTTATGCCATCATGTTACTTTTAAATAGACGTATTGCGAGGTGATGCGGTTGACAACTGAGGAATTGCATGTATCCAATCGTGCATACAACAAATATGGAAGCCACCTGGGACGGACCAAGTTTTGCCCTACCGAGCCGAAACTTTATCCTGCTTGATTCTACTAAATACATTCGACATATTCTATTATCTTGTAGCTATAAATTTATATCAGGACCAAGACTGCACTGTTATAATAGTTTTATGCACAGCCTTCAGTGGTGTATGTATCTGTCATAGCCCTAGGTAACTCTCCAGACGCGCTATGGCTGTTGAGATCAGTGGCTCCATGCGCTATGGGTAGCGGCTAAAATTTACTGGTATGATTGATCGTCATTCATCAACTTTCTATGCCGGTCAATTCTGACAGAAACCTCTCATACATAAGTGCTGATAAAAGTCTGGGCACCCAACCGAAAAGCCCGGCGTCCAACGTATATCCAGATCCTCCGTGGCGCAATTGGCTAGCGCGTCGTAAGTGTAAACCCGATGTTTCGGTTCTATCAAACCAAGCTAACCATCTACAGTGACTGTTAATCAGGAGGTTGAAAGTTCGAGCCTTTCCGGGGGAGTGTCTTTTTACTTTTTTCCTCCGATTCTTTTTATTTTTGCTGGCCCTAGTATGAATTCTCATGGCAGCTAAGCAAGTCTCGCTTAATGGCCTGGTAGCGACCAATTCCGCTTTGAGAACGATGTCACTACGTCAGCTCTGTTACAACTGGCGCAGACGCCACAGAAGTATCATGTGGCTATGCGTACGGTAGAATTGCAAAAGGCTAGAGCTTTCCCGAGCTCTTCGACGACGTGGAGATGACTTGATCAAAGAGCCAAATTGAAATCCTCTGGATGTCATGCCGGTAGCGGAGCAGCAGTCTTGGCAATAAGAAGCAAGAGATCTGAGTATATCGACGGGCGCAATTCAGGAACGCCAGGGTCAAGACGCGTCCACAAACTTATTGATAACTATCTAGCATTTTCTATCTTTGTAATGCGCTCCTGCAGGGATCAAGAGACTCTCATGACACCAGAAGACTGTAGATGTTGAAATTGCTTCAATTATTGCAGTCGCGATACGGAGTACCTGGGCCGTTGATGCGGGGTATTGGTGCGGGGTCCAATACCCTGATGTCTGAGCGCTTTCCTAATAGTGCAGTCTAAACACCCAGAAACCAACCATCAGCGTTATCCTCCGTGGCGCAATTGGCTAGCGCGTCTGACTGTTAATCAGGAGGTTGAAAGTTCGAGCCTTTCCGGGGGAGATTATTTTTCTTTAAATTGTTGGAGATGCTGCATCTATATTTTTAATGTTCGTGCGCCCATCAAATGGTACTAGCCGAATATTTGTATCAATCTAGAAAGAAAGGCTCTCACAGAAGTGTAGACACCCAATGGCTACGAGCCGAGCCGAGCCGGTAAAGAGAAACAGAATCCGTAAAAGCGCGACGGTGTCATGATGATTCAGCAGTGGCCTTTGTGCCGAGTGTCAAATATTGAATACTCCGTAGACTCGTTTTGGCAATCCGGCAGGGCAACTCTATCGGCGGTCTTATGGGATTCTGGATGCAGGCTGTCGAGATCCAGGATGAGAACATCGAGTTGGAAGAGTTCGTACTCCAGATGTTTCACTTGGGAAGTGATTGAGGGGAAAAAGGGTAGGCTAGATGCAGGTATATATATCCTGCCATTCTCGTCTCTGAACTTAATGGATAGCTGACACAAATTGTTAGTTCGACAAGATCTATCTTCGATGAACTAAAGAGTAACGACCCAGAGTTTCAGATAGTCCGGCAAATGCTTGCTTCGCCACCGTGCCGATTCGCCTTATGTGAACCAGCGGATTATCATTCTCCAGTCTGTAGCCAACAGTTGTCTCTTATTTGTATGAGGCAGTAACAGTATTCAAGATCGTGATCAGTGCCTGATCATGTATGTGCTTCTGTTCAATGCTTAACGTTCGATTTTAAGGGGCAAACTTTGACAGCTATCGTCTTGATGATAGGCTTAAGGTGCCAGAACTTTAGGCTTCGATTTACATAGAGTACATGTCTAAATGCTTTTTCTCGTGACTTTCATTGCTTAGATGAGTCATCTTTATACTCTAGGCGATAGAAGATGTTGTACGATCATGGGGTCGGTTTGTGAAGTTGCACTGCCTCACCAAGCTTGTACTCCATGGCAAGGCTGGAGATTTCACGACATATCTCGTCCCTGGGGGTAATCTCTACCGAATCCCTGTCACCTTATCATTTTTCTCCTAGGCCGGGCCATCTCTTAGCATGGACTCATAACTCAGTTTAGGCGCCATGGTGAAACCCGAATTTCTCAAGCTGGGCATAGGAAATCAGAAGTTGAAGTAATAATGGAATAATACGAGCTGACAGAACATTGCACCAGCCGTGTTCTCACCCATAGTGTGCGACTGTAGTCTGTGTCTCGTCGGTTATATAGATGCTGCTAGAATTCACGATTGGCTACCGCGAGGCCCAGTTTGCCTCGTTCCTGGTCACCGGTGGCAAACAAAATCAACGGCTCGGCCAGTAAACTTAATATCTGATAAATGCCTGCTCTTCATTGGAGCGCCGAGCCCGCTGTCATACCCCTCGAACTGTGTGTAACAACTGATTTCGAATATTGCGTAGGCCACGCCGGACGCGGATGCCGGGCGGATAGACAACACCTCTTTCTCGTCTCTCTTGTAACTTATTGGTATTGATTTTGAGACCTTGTTCTCTAGCTGCGTGAACAAGCTCAGGACTGACAAAATATTCTGCGCTGCTGGGAGAGCTGTGTCCAATATAGTGGGACATAGGCGAAGATGGCCTTAAGCTTCGTAAGCCTATGAAAACGGACGGATCAAGTCACCTGAGTTCACAGAACATGAAACTGCATAGAAACTTGAAACGGGAGCTGATCAGTTCCATAATTATCCCCTATCTTATTACGATATAATATTCTCATTCTTTCCTTGTCGGCCTCAAAGTCCTTCCGACTCCCATATCATAGTCACCCTCCTCTTGCAGCGTCACAGTGAACTGACCAGCGTATATCATCACATCTCATTCTAATTTGCCTAGCAGTCCGTCTCGTAGGTAAGCTAGTCTCTAGTCTTATGTCTAGGTTGTGCTAACGCGTTAACTACAGCTCAGTATGTTTGATAAAATCAAGGTACCCTTTAAGAAAGATAAGGAGGGCTCCTTGACAACCGCTCTTCCGGTCTTCCTACCGCCTGGCATTCGGGAGGCAGCAAAACAGCAAGAGGGAAGCAAACCGAAAATAATAGAGATCAAAAAGGTCACGAATCATTCCGAGAAAAAAGGCGATGATGCTAAAAATAAGATGTATTAGCCGTATGCGAGAGACCGTTTGGTTTTGGTGCCATTTGACATGACTTGGGATCTAATTCGACGTTGTACACTAAAACCATGACTTTCATAATGTGTTTCCGTCATGATACGTGATATCCTGATTGGGGGTCTATTTCTGTTCAGGTCTCTGAAAGAGACTGGGGAAAGTGGTAGATTATATAGAGGCATATAATAAAAGCTAAGAATCAAACTGAAGCCCTTTAGGCTAAACCGCTCGTACTGTCTTAAGACTCGGCTAATAGAATGCCGTCAAGTTTGACACTTGCCCATTCGCACTCTCTTACACAGATAGTATGACAACTTTAGCTAGGGATGTCAACCGAGTATCCTCGAGGGCGTCTCGTGCAACCCGAGTAGGAAGACGCCCCAGTTCTAACCGGTACGGGCCGCAGTCGTTTGTGTCCTCGGCTCCAAACTGGCGGGTTTACCGAGCAAACAAAGCTCTTATTCGACGAGCTCACTCGCGATTAAATACGAAGCGTAGATCAATCTTGTGTAATTTACGAGCAATCTTGTGCTCTGAAACTGACATACACACAGGTCACGCTCTGCGGCTTCCTGGGCTTGGCGTAGTGTATAAAAGCTCTTTGACCTGTACTACGTTTTCTCTATTTAGTTTTAATTATCACCTCCGCCTACTCCTTCTCTTTCCTCTTCTCTTTCACTTTACAGAACCAAGATAGATCAAAAACCATCTATCACCGGCTCCCGAGCCCATCACAGCGCGAAAAACTCCTTAGCACACACCTTCCACATCACTGGAGTCATGGCCGCTGAATCCAGCCGCTTTCGACGTGCGCTTGCACCACATAAGCTACTCCTAGCCTGCCTGCTAGTAATCCTCGCCGGCTTAGCAAGTTCTGAAGTGGTCAATCATGCAGCCGTGCAGTTGCCGTTATTGCCGACATCACCAGACATATCAACATTTTCCCCTCCCCCTCCAAACCTAAGCACCGGCACCCTCTCCGCGCGGAACGCAGAGCTGCAAGACTCGGGCTCGCCCTGCCGCTTCGGCCTATGGAACTGCTTGGGCTCGACATACCAAGTATGCAATGTCTCAGGTATCTGGAGCGCAGAGCAAGGGTTTGCAGAGGACGTGGTGTGTTCGCCGCTCGGGACGACCTACAACTTCTACGTAGACTCACCCCAAACCACCACCGCCGACGTCGACCCAGACGGGATGTCCGAGCGGATGAAGTGGATCCTGACGCTCGCGTTCGCGTTGCCGGTTACCGTGCTCTTTACGATTGTCGTTGTGGCTTTTGTGTTGAAGTGGAGGTTGGATAAGGGGAAGAGGGGGGAGAAGGGGAAGAAAGGGGGGAGGGGGAGAGGGGCGGGGGAAGCGAGTGAGATTACGCTGTGTGGGATGGATGCAGAGGAGATGGAGATGACGAAGTCGAAATCGAAATTATCTCTGGTGTGAGATATAGGCTGGCCATGGCGCTGGAACGCTTATGATTCTGAGGATGGAAACTGCCTAGACGAGTAAGAAATACGTTAAGTAGTTAGGAATAGCAGGGTCAGGGAAAGGGGAGTTGGATTGGCGTTTCGCGCTGCAATACACGATGGACATTGTGTGTTTTTTACACCTCATGCTGCCTTTAACAAATTATTGAAATTTTTCAAAAACTAAGATAAGAACCAGCTCCTCGCGAAGCGAATCTTATTTTCTTTGATGATGTCGATCAGTATCTACGTCCGTGATTGCCAATTCGTATCAGCAATATATGTGTGCTTGATCCAACTATCCCGACCCTCAACTTAATCCAAACCCAAGCCGATGCTTCCCATCCTTACGCCCAATTGTGCTATTCCCAAATGATGATCCCACCCATTGCTAAGACAAAATAAAAGCAACAAAAGAAATGTCTGCCATGTCCGGGCAGCTTGTCCATATATTCCCGTCCTATATCACATCATATCATCACATAGCAGTCCCAGGCCTCTCCTGATCCTCCTCACGAAACCCGAAACGGGACATAGGTCTAGGCGGCGGCGTTGAAGAGCCAAGCGACCCTCTCAACCCCACGCCGTAGAACCGCTGCTCGCGGAAACTCCCGAGGTATCCGGCGCTGCTGAACGATTTGCTATGCTGGTGCTGAAGCGCCGAAGGTTCCGGGCGTGGTGCTGAGGATGAGAGATCAACTGCCGAGCTATCGTCGTCATTGGCATCGTTATCGTTCTCTTCGTCTTTATCTTTGACCGAT